CCTCATCTGCTTCCTCAGCAGGGATAATGTCAAAAGGTAAGCTACAAAAAAACAAAAATCATCATTTAAATGGAATACAGCCACTTGGCTTCAAGTTCAACTAACACAGAGGCAAGTTGTTCAGTCACTAATGAGGTGATACAGTCAACTCCCATTATTGTGGACACCCTCAGGGGGGAGATTTTTAGTCTGTAATAGTGAGAGTCTGTAATAGCGGGGTATGAGAGCAAAAAAATTGTTTTCTCCTAATCTAAACTTGTGAAATAATATGTAAAAGTCCCAGAAGCATTGCAGTTTCGACAATTCTTTACTTCTTTTAACTATGGACCATAAAAGAAGATAACAAAATTGTAAATGGCTCTAAATAATTAATTTTATGCTGTATTACCACTTCCAAGTTCCTGAAATGACAAGCAATACATAAGAAAGAGCTTAAACAACCTAACGGAAACTCTTCCAGTAATGTAAATGGGTTACATGTTACCTTGCTGTCAAATATAATGTTTTTTATTGTTCTTGGCAGCTCTTTTAGCACAGAGATGCTGCACGGTATACTCGTAACAGAAACCTGTCTAATGACTTTTACAGTAGAGTGTTAAAATAACGTAAAATGTTTGTAAGCTCTAATGGTAATGTCTTTTATCCCCAAAATGCTGTACAGCAGTCATTTGTTTACTCTTTTACAAAGAAGCGGTCAATAGTACTTTGTCTCATCTTTTCCTTTATTGTAATGTTGCTTTATTCTTTATGTGATGTGCGTCAGCATTTCTGATAAAGCACTCAAGTGTCACATTTCTGTAATAGCGAGAGTCCGTAATAGCGGGAGTTTGTTTCAGTCACTTCTTTATGCGTTTCGCCAAGGAGCTGGCTCTTGTCCGCATTAGTGGGTGTCCGTAATAGCGAGGTATCCGCAAGGTGAGAGTCGACTGTATTTGGTAACGAAATATCAAAAAGTGTCAAATGCTTTTAAAAAACACAATTATTTCAGGTTTAAGACCCTTCTTCAGAATATCACCTAATCAGCTATCAAGGTGCAAGTCAAGTGTCACGCATCCCTGATGGTTTTTGTGTTAAACATTCAAGTTGTTCAGTCTCTGGACACCAGTTATACATCCTCGACTTTCAGACACAATAATACAATATTTCTTTTTGCAGGTTTGTAAGTACTATACATGTAATTTATGGTTTTCAAGTAGGGTTTACCCTGGCCTAGGCAAGGCAATCAGTTATTTTCCTCATCTACAGAATTTGGAAACCAGACAGTGGTATAAAGTGTACTTCTGATTGAGGTATGTACAATGCACTTAACATCCTCTCCTCCCACCATGAAATACCCCCAGCTAAATATCATTGCTTCTTCTGTGCTAAATATTTTAACCTGAAATGGATAATTATGATTGTTGGTCAGAAGTCAAGATCACGCAGGGGTTCTTAGTTGTTATCGGTAATCATTCATTAAAACAAAAAGAAAAATAACTCAAATTACAGATGACACTAAGTGGCACATTTGTATAACTCAGTTTAATAGTCAAGAGTAAAGGGCATAAAAATGTTCAACATCCACTGTTACCTTTTCAACACTGACAAAAGTGAAAACCCTTTCTTAGTTGGTTCACTAGAACAAAAGACAAAGATAAAATTAAGTAAGTAAATAACAAATGTATTTATTTAACCCATTGGCTGTTGGAAATTTGGCACAAAAACACCTTTTGAATCTAGTTGTGCAGGTTTCTGGTTACTACCTGAGCAAAAAGAACCAAAACTGCCCAAAATGGTGTTTATAAGTCAACCACATTGCAGCCTTCTTTTCTTCATGTTATCAAGCGTGCACAGAAAGCAAACTGTCAACTTGAAGATAGTTTTTGGGCAGCGGTTTTTGTTTCGTTTCCAATAATATTGCTACTGAAAACCCTGTTTGGGAC